GCGTTGCATCGCGCTGCGTAAACATAAAACCATGTCTGCATTTGTGATCGGAAAAATTACAAACAACAAGCCCTACTCTACACTGCTCAAAACTCGCATTTGAATCGTCAGTGGCAAATCCTTTAAATATAAAAAAACTTACTTACAGGCTATGAGTCAGAACAGCCGGCATTGTAGTCTACTCTACCAGGATCAGGAAACAGTCCTCTATAAAATGTGCTGCACACATCTGAATATTTGTGTTGAACTGTTCTGGAACAGTGTTGTAAATACAACTTAACCACTGATTTCTAGTCGTGTCCTCTTTTGGAAGACCAAACAAAGTAGTTTCGCTTTCACAACGAAACACACAGCGGGCTAGAGCGGCCGGCGGCCGGCAGTCTTGCGGCAACCACATGTGACGACCCCGGGCTGCAACTTTATAGATCTTCTTTATGCACCAACAGCTTGTAACACTTCAAAGAGAAAGGAAAAATTTAAATCGCATCATATGACCCCTTTAAGTAATTTCAGTGTTTTCTCATTTCTCTTTTTAAATAGTGGCTGTTTTCAAATATGTGAAATTCCACAGAGGTCATGCCTTTTGTATTGATTTATTTATTTGACATATTTATTAATTTATTGTTTCTTTTACTGCAAATCAGTAATTTAAGAAAGTAATACAGAAAGTCGCACAATTACGAAGTAACAGCACCTACTGTACAGGATTGTACATTATAGCGTCACCTTCACTACTGGATGGCCTCCAGGTGATGCCTTTACCGCTCCTCGACTTCCTTCAGTTTCATAATGAGCGCGATGGTGTGGTCTGGGCTGTACCTCTATGCGCAGTTCATACTGGTCAAACTGTGAAGGCAGCGGCCAGTCAAGTGGCGGCAGTGCATTAGATCTGGAGCAGGATTAAGGAAGCAGAGACAATGTGAGGTTTGAAGTCAAAGATCAACATTATTCTGATTTCTATCAGAATCTAAACCTAAAATAGTTTAGTGTGCAAAACAGCATGCTTCATTCCATGATTACTGTTTCAAACTGTAGTATGCTATCACATTATCACATGATGACCTCAGAATACTGCATGTTAAATTCAGAAAATGGAGTATATGTATCATCGTGGAAATAAAAATGGTTGTTTTCTGTAAAAAGACTTGACAGTCTTACCAAATAATCAGTAAATGAGTTTATATAATATATATGTATATATACACACACATAATAAATTTCAAGCTTACATATATTTAAAGTTTAAATTAATACATTTTTATTTTATTTTATTAATTTAAAATGTAATGTGATAACGTGAGGGAGGTCATGTGACAATATATCATATTGCTCTTGAAATTTTTGCATTCTTTTGCACATTCTGTTTTCATGTAGTATTCAGTGCATAATTCACAGTATGCAAGAAGTTGTGCATAAACCTAAAGAGAGGACTGTGAGCGCTGGCCCTGGTTCTGCCCCAGCCCAGAGCAGGAGGCACAGACAGGTAGTCCATCCCTATTGTGGGGGGCTCCCTTCTCAGCTGAGCAACCTCTGGGAGGGGGCAGGGAGAGGTCTGAATGGGGGTCAGCTCTGGTTCGATGTCTCTTGATGACATCTGGATTGTGCACACCCATAAACACAAGATGGTCATATGACAGAATATGAATGAATTCTTCATTTGATTACCAAGAATGGACTGTCAGTGAGTTTAACAGCCATATTTCAAAAGGATCACCTGTTCCAGAGAGGTCTTCCTGGTCTTCTGTGGGATGTTGAGCTCACAGCTTGCTGGAGCCTGAGACTGAGCCGAGGTTTCTCCCATGTCCGGGAGGGAGGAGAGATCCTCAGAGTAGCTGCTTCTGCGGGAGGTGCTGGGGGAGGCCAGTGGGGAGTTCCTGCGCTTTTTGCCCCCAGGAGACGTGGGACGCGAGGAGGGCGATAGGCAGAAGTGGGCAGCAGCTTCATTGAGCTCGTCTTCCTCCACCAGGAGAGAATCACAGCTGGAAGCTGGACTCAGCCATCCACGAGATGAGGAACTGGAAGCAGGGCTGGGGCTGGGACTGAGGGAACCTGCCCCTGTCATGACGTCACGGTAAGAATCCAGCAGGGGCAGGTATAGGCGCTCCCTGTCCCAGCCACCCCCGCCATCCCAGTAACTTCCCCCTGCTGGACCTGAGTCCTCTTCAGGGGAGATAGTGGTGATCTGGATGCTGGGGCACTCAAGCACTCTAGACTCTGATACCTAAAACAGAAAAAGAAGAGGGTGTGATATCACTGTGGGCTAAAAAATAAAATAATTGTGCACAGCAGCACTGCAACATAACTAATGAATCTACAGCATGACTGAAACACACAGCAGTGTTTTTATGAATGAAAGATTCTTGTCAGAGTTCTTTTTAGCGAATCAAAAACATACAGCACAATCATTGTAGTCTGACAGCTGAACGAAACTCGTCAGTCCGTTGGTCAGTTGTTTTAGTGAATCAAAAAAAAGCAACACAACCAGTGTAATCTGAATGCTGACGATATGATTCTTATGAATCGGTTATTTTTAGTAAATCAAACATATAAATCTTACAACTATCTGTAAATTTTAAATCAGTATAGTTACTGACTGGTGATTCATATGCAGTGTTATTTATTTATCTAATAATATAGAATTTATTAATATTTTGAATTAGCTTTTATTTTTAATTCTAATGTTTTAGTTAACAATATTGTTCATTTGACAATGTGTAGTGTAATATTAGTTAAGAATCAGATTTTTCTTCTCAGAAGTGCAAGTTTATATAGAATTGAGAAGATTAACTCGCTCACATGCCATTATGACATTTTTAATTTTATTAATAAATATTCGTGATTATGGGATTGCATTTATGCTGTCTCTAAAACGTGAACATCAATAAAAAAACGTCACACATCTTTTGCAATAACTGTTTTAAATGTACTCATTATTTTAATAAATAAAAAAGAATAATTGTAACTTTTCATATCACTTGGCAATGGACTTGCATTTCTTTTTTCCAAATACTTTTTCCATAGAAAGTCATTATATTTTTTAATGATTCCACACTCTATTGGAGACCCTGTTTACTTCTGTATTTTTGAGTGAAACAAGACATTCAAAGAGAAAGGACTTGATCTCAGCCTTTACAATGAGATTACAAAGACAATCATGTTTTTCTTTGGAATAATTTACAGGTGAATGATGCACTATATGGCCAAAAACACGTATTAAATAAATATGGTCGCTTTTGGTTTGATTTTGGTTGACTTTAAATGCTAAAGGATACTTAAATTTAATTGAACTCTAACATTTATTTGCAGCCCTTATGTGCCAAAACAAAATATGCACAACAGCTCATGGCAACCGATTCTGTTCACAATAAACATTACTGGGCAACAAAAACGAACTCCTGAAATTAAAACCAGACCTCTGGATTTACAGTTTTTCTCAACTGATTTGACACATTTCTCCAAACTCAGGTCACTGTTCTCAAAACAGTTAACACAGTGATCTGAATACTTTGTAATTGTCCTAAACAGATTGAACGGTTTCATTCATTCATACACATTACAAATCATGCAAATAATTTTCTCAAAACTCTGAAATGTTTTCACAATAGTTAATACAACCAACCAATACTTTTACACAAATCACAAACTTTTATGTACCATTTGTCCAAACACAACAAACAAAACTCTGTAATTTGTCATTCTATCAAATGAACATGGTATATTTTCGATTGGCCCTAAACTGATAACTATTCGGATAATTATACACACAACGCAGGAAATGCAGTTTTCCTAATTGTTTACACATTTATCACAATTGCTTCAGAGTAATAATAAAAGGGAAAGTATACAAAGAGCAAGAACGAATATGCAAAAAAATAAAAAAATAAAGTAAAAATAAAATAAATGAAGGGGGGGGGTAAAGAAAGAGGTGTAAGTCTATAAGGTGGTGGAGTGGGTAGAGAAAGGGGTGTAATGAGAGAGAAGATGAAGAGTGTAACAGGTAGAAAGAGGTGAGCAGAGAGGAGGATGTGAGAAAAGAAGGAAAGGGAGAAGAGATTTACTATGATTGTTGATAGTACAGATTTTTAGTCCTTCTGGGGCAACTTCTGTTATTGACTGTAAATGTCCAAACATTTTTCCGAATTTAAATTTGAGATCATTCAGGTGGACAATCAAGATTATTTTGAATGGAACAGGAGCATTGTTGACATGGTGATCCATAACAACACCACCAGCCTCAAAGGCAGAGGCCTATGGAGATGTTGAGACAGGAGCTTGTCAAGCATGGATTCAAACTTCTTACATTTTTTCTCCTATGATGCAAGCGCAGCAAATATGTAGTCTAGATAAAATGCAACGAAATTCTCTTCCAGATGCAAATGAAAGGCAAGATCAATAATTCAGGATCATTCATGTATACAGCAAACACACACACGTGTGTATATACAGTGGTGGCCAAAATTATTAGAACACTAGTATTTTCACCAGCTAAAAAAAATAATATATATATCCACCACTGTCCTGTAAAAGACTGATCTGTAGTTTTCAGAAAAGTTTGTTTGCAGTTCTTGCTGCTAAAGGTGGCATGAACAGATTTGAAGTTTAAAGGGGCAATTCGTTTTTTTCTCATGGGTGATAGCAGGTGACAATTTTCAATTTTTATTTCGTTTAGATATTCACAATATATATAAAACAAAACTCCCTGTTGAAGAAAAACATGTATGTTAAGCCAATTTGTATCTTTGTTCTGTTGTATTTACTGGTCCTGTTGCTTGCTCAAATTGTTCATTTTTATTACTGTTTACTTGTCTATGCTTTTATTTTCCTTTAATCCAGATGGTAATGGTTGTCATTGTCTTTTTTTTTTTAATTTTTTAGGAAAGATGTTTTTAATGATTTTTCACAACAGTTTGGACCACTGTAAGTGCTGCTTTTTTCTGAAGGTCAGTTGATGTCTGCTGTACTTTATCAATTATGTCTAAGAGATTTTTCCATCTGTACGATAATATTACACAGCCAATACCAGGCCAATTCCAAAGCAACACATACATGTTTGAGGTAAGGTTCCCTTTCAAGGGAACTTCGAACTGCGTCCTCTAAGGGTCGCTATGGGGAACACCTTCAGTGTG